CTGAAGGTGTAGTTTCTTTAAAGGACAGTTATCTTGGCTTATTTACGTGTTTGTTTGTTTTTTTGTTTTGTTTTTTTTAAACATTTTTGGTGCCTGGATCAGGGTTTCAAATGGTCAAAATGAAGAAGATGGATTATAATGTTCTGTTGTATCTAAGAAACCTCATTGTCTTCACTGTACACAAGCCATTAATCCAAACCTACAAACTATCACAAAAACCCATATTTCTGTTATGTATGGGTAAAGAGAGAGGCAAAAGGCTAATAATAATAATGGATTGGATTTATATAGCGCTTTTCAAGGCACCCAAAGCGCTTTACAATACCACTATTCATTCACTCTCACATTCATACACTGGTGGAGGAAAGCTACAGTTGTAGCCACTGCTGCCCTGGGGGAAGACTGACAGAAGCGAGGCTGCCATATCGCGCCATGGGCCCCTCTGGCCAACACCAGTAGGCAAGTAGGGTAAAGTGTCTTGCCCAAGGACACAACGACCAGGACAGAGAGCCTGGGGATCGAACCGGCGACCTTCCGGTTACAGATGCGATTCCCAACCCCGTGAGCCACGGTCGCCCCAATCATTAGCATGAGCAGTGCTGATGTGAAGATGGTATCTGAATACTAGAACTGCTGCCAGCTGTTATGCACAGAAATGTGACAGCACTGTGACTGAATGAATGCAGCAGGAACAAATTGTTGGAACAACACAGTGAAGAAGAATCATCATCCCTTCAGGACAAGAGTCCTCTGGAAGTACCAGTGCCCAGCGTACAAGTGTTACAATGCTTATTTGCTGGTATCCAGTTTAAAAATATGACTAGGAGATTTTAACAAGATAAGAGGAAACATGGAATACTGTATGAAAGACTAAAATATCTAATGTTATGACATATTTAGGAGGATTGCAGTTTTTCCATTTCTTCTTGCTGGGTGTCATGTGATCAGCAGGCAGTGGAGCTCTGATATGAAAACGACCAACTCAACATAAAGTACTGGGTGTTTACTGTGATTGACGATGTGGCTCTGTGGAAGCTGTTTGCTCTAATCTCTGCAGAGAACCTGCTCTACTGGTCCTAAATGTACAAAAATCCTTTTAAATCACTGCCTTAACCTTTTAAAGTGCTTGTAATTATTTTTCTGACCTGCAGTTTTGGCCTTATGTACAAACTGAGGTTAATGAAAGTGCTTTTCTCAACCCATCTATTTATTCACTGCAGATTTCTGGTCGTGTATTGTCATCTCATTAGTTTGTGAGGTACTGCCATCCAGAAGAAAGTTGCCTAAAAATAGTGAAGATAAAACTGTTGGCTTTTATTTTTGTTGTAAGACAGCAGTGGTCTGTGGCTAAACCATTCCCTTGTTCATGGTTGTTTTGTGGCTTCTTCAGTGCACCTGTTGTTACTTTGAGTTGCCCCTAACTGATAAAATCGATGTACAATAGTTTCTGCATCTTCATTCTTCTGAGCAGAATTTTACATGCAGCTCAGTAACCAAGCAAATTTGAGTTGGAGTTATAAGTATGTTCAGCTGAAGTGTGTGCTGCAATCCTTTTTATAAGAGGAAATGTATTGAAGTCCAGCTTGTTCTTGTCTCCTATAGAAAAACAACCAATTATTGATTTGTAAAATGTGTTTTTGTCATGAGAATTCATGCGACCTGTGAGTTTTTTGTTAAAGGAGCTGCTGCGTTCTACATTTCTGCAGGGAGTAGTGACACATTAACAGTGTTGAGTTATTTTTTTGCCCAGAGTTGAATTTACATTCCTGAACTGTGACTGTTTCTACGTAATCTCCACACTGTCTCTCAAACAAACCTGCATGACCTTGCTGTGCTGTAAGATTACAGTACTTTGGGTAAACACTGCACAAAATGACAGAGGCCCTGTTTCTGCAGGGCAGCAACTGAAGGTTTCACACTGTGGTTTTGGTTTAGATTTATTCTTCATTCAGCTCCTGTCAAAACTACTGTGTTTTTTAATTAATGCAACACAGAGAGCAGTGGAAGCGACTCACAGTGACTGTACTATATTATTATGCATGGTTTGACCTAAGGAAATGGAAAAATGTGATCCTGTGGAGCAGTGCAGTGTTAAAACAAGTGACCTACAAATTTATTGCACTGGTTTGTGATTTTTTTTTTAAAATGAATGCATTCATCTTCTGACTGCTATGTCCTGCTGTGTCCTACATATCTTTACAATATGAATCCCACAGTTTACTGAAAAATTCAGTTATAATAACGAAGTTAAATCCATGGTATTACAAGAAAAGTGATGCTGTTAAAGAATAATTTAAATGGAAAGCTATAGAAGATGGTGGCCACTGTCTCTAAAAAGCCAACCAATAGCCAAAACAGGAAACAGATGAGCCAATCATTTGTTGCGCTTATGCATATGCAACAGAAGATGGTCATGACAGTTTCCACTGTATGGCTGGTATGTCTACATGCTATTGTGGCTAATATGGTAATTGGTTAGTACAAGTGAATGGTTTTTATATCCTAGTGACCATTAAAAGTGCAGATACATATTTGACTTTGGGTACCTACCTAAGCAGACACAATACAATGATTGTTGCTTGAGGAGACTGTATCAGGATATTCATGAGCCTGAGCTTTTGGTTCACAGGGATCATGTGTGTTCAAAATTCTTGAGCCATCCTTTATTTCTTTATAGAAAGGCTTAAGGGGAGAAAAGGTTGAAGTATGCCAAATTGCATAAGAACTGGACTGAAAATTAGTGGCAGCAGTCTTATGGGCCTGTTGCAATACCATCTTAAAAGCTTCTGATTGGTAACAGCTTCATTTTTCAGCATGGCAGTGATCCCAAACACTGCCAATGCAGTAAAAGCATCACCTGAGTGGAAAAATGCACAGCTGAACACCATCAGTCATGGATTGACCTCCCCAGAGAACTGGACCTCAGCATTATTGAAGCATTGTGGGATCATCCTGACAGAACAGAACAAATGGCAGGCATCTGTTTTTCCTTTATTTTTGCACTTGATCACTTACTTCAAATGTGCCCATTTCCCATTTTCTAGCAAAATGTAAAGAAATGATTGGCTTAAGACTGGTGCACAGTACTGTAGATGACTTTATTTGAAACGTTGGCCATGTTTGATATGAACATCTACCACTGCAACTATACATGACAGGAAATAAGGAAATGGATAGTAGATGCACTCTAAACTGTTATTATGTTTGCCTACTCTAATTTCTGTTTATTTCTTAAAGAAAATTAGATTTTCTGAATTCATTGAAGTTTATCTCATTGAAAGTACACAAATTTTAGCTTAAATTTTTACCTGTAGCTAATGTTACAACTGATAGCAGTATAACCTTAACAAAACTGTATAGTCAACTACATGGTTGATTTACAGGGTCTGACTGAAAATGTTTAATTTCCAGGCCTACTTGAAGACTTTGTTTGTTTGGTTTGTTTGTTTTCATCAGACAGTGATCTTTTTTTGGAACCTTGCAAACTGTAGTAAAGTAATTGTATCCTGTGCTTACACATCTCACTTGATTTGAGTGAAACGTTTCAATGCACTGTTTGGTGTTTTATTGGTCCATATATGTGAGTTTGAGATGTTATTAAAGTCAGACTTTATGTAACAGGATATTTTTGAGACTGGCCTCAAGGTGTTGTCTGCAAGAAAACAGTCGCATCAATCTCTGACTTTTCCTGTACTTTAAGGGAAATCCTCTCAGGCTTAAGCTTGACTTGACTGTGTTTGATGTAATTGCAGCAACCACACCACACTGATCCAACATACACAGCAGCCACTGCAGTGTGATTCAGTGCAAGTTCACTAAAAGTTAAAAACACATATGTGTCTGAGTGTTTTTCAGGCTGCAAGTGAAACTGATAATGAGTATGTGAATTAAATTAGTCAACTAATAATATTATAAAAAAAAAAAAAAAGGAAACCAGTTATCTGCCATTTTGAAGTAACACATGGCAATATTTATTTGACTCTTAGGTTTCAGTTTTGTTCCAGTATAGCAGGGTACTTAGGAATTTAGTGTGATTTCATGTCTTTCCAAAAGCAAACACACAAACAAAAGATATCCACTCATCTTCCTATAAAAGTATCACTGAGATACTGAGTATTGTTATTAGTGTATGTCACATAAAACCCACCTGAGTGCAGTCTCTGATGGAGCATTTAGCTGAGCTCAGTGAGCTGTGAAACGTGTGAAAACAGGTTAACTATTAAAAATGGTAATAAAAAAATACTAATACTACAATAATTATTCCTACTGCTACTACCGCTATTACAGCTACCACCACTACTAATAACTGACTGGGATTTTTTTCATACACTTGGTCATAACCAGGTTATTATCTTTTCTTGTTAGTTTCACCCTTTTATGGACTTTCCTGTCAACAAAGGTTTTGTTGCAGGCTGTAAACATGATTATTTATGTTGCAAAGTTAGACATTTTAACATGTGAGTCTGTGCCAACTAACTCACTTTAAAAGCCTGCCTTAAGTGGCCATTAGAGGGACTGCAGTTATTTTCTTCATGAATTGACTTCATTTTTCAGACCTGGAGGTTTTTGCTTGATTAAATTACATACATAAATATGTAATATATAAATGCTCACTTTTTATTTTTCCCCAGTTGCATAAATAACCTATGAACATAACCAAAGTTTTAGTCTGAAAAGTTAGGGTTTTTTTTCCTTTGTCTTTTCCTCTGCTCTTCCCATCTAAAAATTGTTGCAAGGCTCAGTTGCTGAGTGGATATTTTTTACATCAAGTGATTTATACCTGGTGAAATGTCAGAAAGGTGTGGGAAATGGACTCCTTGTTGCCAGTGACTTGGTCGTAATAGAATGAATGTTTTATTAAAATGAGCTGAAAAACCGATGTCACAAGACTTTTCCAGGAACATTTTTTTTATTTCGGTCTCCGTGGTTACTCCACGTGTCTTTGCTCTTTGGTGTTTCTATGGTGACGAACTTTTTTCTCTCCTCTCTTCCTCTTTCAGTGTCATCCAGCCTCCATTACCACTACCTATAGACAAGGTAAGAACAGAAGTATGTATGTGTGTGCGTGTTTTTGTTAGTGTTGTCCTGTCCCATGTCAAAGTGTCTCTCACTCACTCACATGTAGGGCTACACCTCAGAGAAGCATCTAAGAGTGTGTGTTTGTATTTCTAACACACATAAGTGGTCTTTAAACACACAGAGTGGACTTAGTCAGCTGACAAAGGAATGCAGAGATCCCTGCCAGTTGGTGCTGCAGCATTACAGAAATCCTTCATGTGCATCAAGAAGCAGGATTTCTTTTTTCTGCCACTGTACAGGCTGTGGTTTCACATACATTTAGATGTTTGTCCACTCAAGTTTAAAAAGAAATTTGTTATGTTCTCAGAGCTAGGATGTGACCTCTCTAAACTGAAGTCCCAATGCTTTTGGAGATCAACTATTTGTTTAGATTCATAATTAGGGGTGGGATTTATCAATTAAAATCGATTCTGGCTTGGATAACGTGATATCGATTTAGGGCTGCTCAATTAATCGAATTTTAATCACGATTACGATCTGGGCTTTCAACGATCATTAAAAATGACTGAGCCGATTATTAGCCCCTCCCTCATTTATCCGCGACACCTTAAAGGCCGGTCCGTGAAAATATTGTCGGGCATAAACCAGTCCGTGGCGCAAAAAAGGGTGGAGACCGCTGATTAAGAGGACCCGAGGGAAGCTCGGAAAGCTAAGCAGAAGTTATTTGGAGAGTGACTGCCGTTGGTTGAAAAGAGTTAAAAAAAAAAAAAACTTCAGTGGTGTTGCACACTATTTTATATTATTTTTTAAAAGTCATTGTTAACCCTTTAAAGCCGGTCAGAGCAGCATGCTCCGTTTTGCGTAACTATTTTTAAATCCCTGTAGAACCTGAACCGTGTAAGCTAGCGCAATAATTTGTTTTGCATATGAAACCGGAGGAGTTGTACTTACATCTGATGCCATCAGCTTGTCCTCGGTCACGGTTTCGTTCCACATATAGCTTTGCAAAAACTGCATAAAAAGCGCTTGCAGGAACAAAAACATAATATTCCAGAAACACGCTTTGCCGTTCCTATCAGCTGTTCGTAACACTTCCCACAGTGAAATGATGCACATGCTGTTTTCTTTGCAAATTTGCATCATAGGATTGTTTTTTGTTTTTCCTGCAGTATATAAAAATTGCTGTATCTCCAAAATAAAACTATGAAGACACTCAAAATAAATTTCCTGTGGTGGGAAACTATTTTTTGCAACTTTATTGTATTTAAAGTTTTGAGGGATAAGCCTCTTAAACTTCTCCAAGTAGAAATATATGTAAACAAAACAAAAGCGATTTTCAATTTTTTTTGTAGTTTATTGCACTTTTTTGCAATTTATGTAATTACTATGCACTTAATGCATACATATTATTAAAATATGGGCTATAACAGTTGTATTGATGTATAGCAACTTGAAATGCTCCCACAAATGGCACTACAACATGTAAAAAAAAAAAAATAAAAATAATATAAGCTCTGGTGGACTTGGTTCTATAGTAGGTCTTAAAGGGTTAAATAAATATCGTCAAATAATCGTGATCTCAATTTCAGTGAAAATAATCGTGATTATCATTTTTGCCATAATCGAGCAGCCCTATATCGATTCATTAAACTCCTGAATCGATTTTTAAATATAAATTTATTTTGCCTGAAATACCAGAATCTCAGGTTAAACCTCACAAAATTTCTACAACCACCAAACAGCTAAAACAGTAAATGACAGCAGGTACACTGATTCTGCACAAAGACGTAAACATAAAACGCAGACCCAACGCATCCGAATCAGTGAGCTGTCGTCTTTCTCACCTGACGCACGTACGCCGACACGCCGTCGGGGCTGAAAGCCAACAGCTCACTGATTTTGAAGCGTTGGCGGGCACTTTGTGTTTATGTCCTTTTTGCGCTAGATTCTGAAGCTGCAGATTTTATCTCTCTCCAAACAATACTGACTGAACCAGCAGCCAAAGACGATCCAAACTACGCTTCACATTTTGCTTCACATAAACATCGTCACGAATTTCCTCTTACTTTTGCTGTTTTGCTTCCACCACGATAAAATCACACTTCATGTAGAGCTCTCTCTCTCTTTCTCTCTCTCAGGAATAGTTTCCCATCTAAAAATCTGTTTTTTGCATTATTCGCTTACTTATTACCCACCAGTCTACAGTCTGCTGGTTCTTTTTGGGTTTTTTTTGTTAACTAACTTCCGACAACAAAGCCTCATTTCTGCTGTTCAATACTGAACAAATGTAAACTTAAAATTAAAATTACTCAAAATTTCAAAATGCTTAGCTGTGTCTCTAATCAAACCTCTGTAACTTTGCTCTGCTTCACTTTGTTTTTGACTGCACAATATGTTTAAGGTCATCTGCTATAAAAACCCAGACCAGGAAAACCGCCTTCATGTTTTTCTGTGTTTTATCCTCAGTTACTTTGACACAAAGGAATCTGCTGTGATGCTCACACCTTTGATAAAGTCTCACAAGTGTCAGCTTTCTTTTTATAGATATAAAAAATATAGATATGTACTGATAAGTGATCAGAATTGTAATATTTCTGACTGCCTGAGGCAAAATTTCCCCGATTCGAATCAAATCGTGGATCGAATCGATGCGGGACCTTGTGAATTGGAATTGAATCAATTCTAGATGAAAAGTTATCTGTAACCTGTTACGAGTTCAAAAATTGGGGATGGAGACAAGAGAAAAAAACCACAATAACAACACTGGTCCGGCCGGGTTAAGTCAAACGATGATTTTAATGAACACACGCGTGGGAGATGGACACTTTTCTCTCACACGGCGCCTAAGCTACGACCTTGGCTCCCTGTTTTATCTGCTCCTGCTGAGATGGGACAGAAAACTCCAGCATGCTCTGTTCTCTTCTAATCAGAAAAATAAGGCGATGACTCTCTGCAAACAGTATTTCTTATAACATCATAAAACAATATCATTCATCCACAATAAATCAGCAGTCTAATGTAATGCAAATCAGTTTAACTAATGCAATAGTTATCAGCTTCTTCTAATTCAGGAGAATAATGCAAACTCAAACTACATAATAATTCACAATCTTTAATTAGGGGTATAACATGGCATAAAATAATATTATAACGTAACAAACCCCTCACTAGAAAGATCCGTTATTTGCAGCATTTCACATTTCAGTTATTGATTTGGAAATTCATATCTATGAAAATCAATTCTAGCTTTACCAAAGTCTACATCAGCATGTGGAACACTTCAGACTTGCGTGACTCGACTTGCCATTGTTTATTTTAGTGTGCTTTAAAGTCTTCTCCTGTGTCTTCACGGTAAGGAGAGATGAAGGGGTGAATAAGCAGCTAAGTTGCTGAGCTGTGCTGTGACTGCACACATGCCTTGACTCCGGTTGTGTTTGGGTTAAATGGGATGGGTTAAAAAATGTTTTAATGTTTGAATTGTGTGTAAAAACTGCTTTTCACAGATAATGTCCATAATCCACACAGCGGGACATTATCTTTTATACAGTTGCACGGTTTAAATTTGGGCCAGCTTTGGTGGGATTTGCAATCCTGCAAATCTAACACTCAAAATTTGGTTTTCCCAATTTACAGTAATATTGGTCATTCCTGTCATGCTTCTTGGAATCTGCCTCTCCATGTGGGGTGAATTTCCAAGCCAAATTAAAAGATGCTAAAATTTGCAACACTGAAAGCTGCTGTTCCAGGAAGTCTCACAAACCTACACAGACAGGCATCAAAGAGCATGAATGAAGCCAAAAACAAAATACCCTGTACAATTTAAAGTACACTTTTTTTTTTCTACAAGTCAGGTGCTAAATTCAGTCATATAGACTTCTTTTAAAGTTCCAGAAGGAATTGAGGTTGATTCTTTAACCTCAGTGTTGTAACACTGGGAAAATTCCTTAGTACTGTAATTGGGAAATTTGCTGTTAGAGTTTAGCTGATAAATTGACTAGTACCAATGTATTGTATGTACACTACAAGATAATTTCTGCATATAAAAATATTGGAATTTATCAAGAGACTTTGAGCTTCCCACAAAGTAAAATCTTTAGATATATGAAAATATTGATTTTAATCAGTGGTTTTTGTTTTTGTTTTAATAGTGGGATTTCCTTAGAATAAAGTTTTGTCTTTTTTTATTTTGTTTTGGTTTTTTGCAAATAGTCATAAAATATTAGGAAAGTGCACAGATTTATGCTCAGTAAGGCAACACGGACCGTTTTGAGAATGTAAAAACCTGTACTGGTATCAAGAAGTTCCAGTAATAAGGTATCAACCATTTGAAAAAGAAATAAAAAAATGAAATCAGTAGAAATTACGAGCTTTAGTTGCTCTGGTTTGTTTTACAGCTACTTTGCAATTAGTTGAATTAGTCCGCATGCAACAGCTGGCTCCCAGTGCTGTGTTCACACAAGGGATAATTTATCATGTAATTTGAATGAACGAGTAAATCTTTGTCATATCATAACGAACACCTTTCTATAGTTTCCTGTACCACACCACATGTGATCATGTAGACACATGGTACTTTAACAAATTTATTTAAACACATTATATAGATGTAATGTAATGTAACTCTATGTGTCATACAGTGCAGTATCAGACTAATTGTTTACCCATAGTGTGTTGTACCAGGCTTCCTCTGTTGCCTCGCCCTGCTCTGATTCTTCCTCAGAGCAGCAAAGACAGTATAACCTGTCTGAGGAATGTAGGCTTGTGTGTGAGCACGCCTGAGAGGAGCTATGATTACATTTGAGCCATTCTTAAACATAGTTAAGTGTTCTAAAGCAGGATCCTCACATCTCCCAGGTCTCAACACACATAGTCATATGTGTGTGTGTGTGTGTGTGTGTGTGTGTGTGTGTGTGTGTGTATAAATGTATTAAACCTTATGTAGGTTAGCGCCACAAGTGTAAAAGGTGTTTTCCTCATTATGTTTTCATACTGGTAACAAACATAAAACATCGATAGCAAAGGGCATGCTGATTTGATTTGTACACATATATACAAGGATAAAAGAAAACCAGCTCACAGATCTATTATAAAAACCAACCAGCAGGAATAGCTGTGGACATACAAAGGTGACCATGCGGCTTTGATATTTCATGGTTAATCTGTTGTCTGACAACAGGAACATATTTATTATTTGCCTGTATTAAAATACTGTGTAAGTGTAAAGTCTGTGAGAAGCAAGCAGATGGAAATGGCTAACAGAAATCCAGCTGAGCGTAACACTAATGGACACTATCAGTACTCGTTATCAGTCACTCCTTAAAGTTTAATTTTCCACAGAGCTTTTCAGAATCGTGTTTATTGGCCAAATATATGTGCAGACACATACAGGGAATTTGGTTCCGGTAGATGGTGGCTCTCAAGCACAGCAATGTAAAACACACACACACACACACACACACACACACACACACACACATTACACATACATACATACACAAAGCTGTGTAAACCAACTATAAATAACGAATCTAAACTTATATACATAAAATACAGAAATGAATGAGGTGTACATGAAATCTTTCTTCAGATGACTGGAGAACCTGAACATGTCAGTGTGGTTATTTGTAGGCTGTATTGAGTGTTTTCATCACTTTGCTTGCTATCACGCAGACCTATTTGAAATTTGACTAGATTTGTTTCGTTAAGGATTCTTTCGTTAAATTCAACAGCCTCCAACAACAAAAAGAAAAGCAGTACTAACTTTAACACTTTTTTGTGCTAAATATGTTTTGCTACTGGCAGTCAGTAGCAGATAGTTAGCATCCATTCTATGATACACAACTTAGCACTGACCCAGGCTTAAAGTGTGGAAAAGCATGGGGCTGTGAAGGTACTGCATGTAGGCCACCAGAAGTAAATTACAATAAATATGTTGTAAATTATACAACTTAAAAAAAACAAACAGAACTAAGAAGAATACACTACATTATTCATTTTCTGACCCGTTTTTGATACTGAAGTAATTTGTCATTATCAGAGGGAAAGCGGTAAAAATTAAGTTGTGGCTACAACAGTAACAGTTGCATAGATGCATAGATAAACATTACTGACTGACAAACAGATATTGAAATGAAAGTTATTAACGGAGAGTCGTTCAGAGAATTCTGAAGCTCAAAGTGAGTCAATGAAAGCAGAGAATTATATATTTCATGTCATGTTTTAATGATCAGAGATGTAGTCAGACAGAAGTGGACACTGTTCCTGTGCTCTGTCTTCATGTATGTTTGTTGTTGTATGTTAAGGTCAGCTTACTCTTTAACCTTTGGTTTTTCAGCTGTTTATTGACTCCTTGCATTCAAACAAAAGGCTGAATGAGTCTCAGACAACTGTCAGCATGTTTCCATGGTTTGTGTTCGTTTTTTAGGTTGCAGCCAACACTCCCAGTATGTATTCTCAGGAACTGTTCCAGCTCTCCCAGTATCTACAGGTAACACTGACACCTACTGGACATATTTGAGAACTACACTAACAATAATGAGTCTGAAATGTGATTGTGCTTCTCCTTATTTTCTTATTTATATAAATATGTACAAACACAGTTAAACTGGTGCTTGCTCACATACAAATAATCATGGTGAGCCATAAGTTCAGGCTTCGGACTGCTCTAAACAGCTGGTTTATGGCTGTTTTTGCACCATCTATATGATGCCATGCAGAGGGATATCCTTCATATAGTTATCAGGCTTGAAGGCTCCACCCACCTGCTGGTCAACCCTTGTGTTTACCAACAGGAGCCAATCAGAAGAATGCAGGCTTACTCTGTTACACCCCAAAGGACTAAAGTTATGAAGCTGGGAAATGAACAGAATAGGTCTGCTTTAACAAGACAACATTGGTAATATGAAGACTTGACAGGAGTATTTCTCTGATGTGAAATTGATGTGAATTTTTATCTGATAAAAAAATAGATTACATAATGAAAAGCATACATCAGAGGTCATTACTAAAAACCAACTTTCTATAAAGCACAAAGAACTGAAATGAAGAATACATGTTTAAATTATTTCTAAAGGAAGAGTGAAAAAATCTGATTACTGGTTTTGTTTTTATTTTTAATTTTTATATTATCCGTTTTTAGCTACAATCACTTAAGATTGTAGCTAAAAACGGAACCATGTATAATATTATCATAAATGTTGATGCACTGTACCAGAGTTGGCTTAGAACTAATTTGCATCCTCATTCCCTCGGAAGGTTCCAAGCAAAGATTACAATAAACCGCAAAGAAAAAGCAGCTAACTGAAGTTAACTGGTGCACTAATATTAGTGGATAAAAATCAGACATTGTCATAAATAACTGTGTAAGCTTTTGTTTGTGCTGAGTTATTTTTCATCGACGACCTCCCTCTCACTCTCTAGGAGGCCTTACACAGAGAGCAGATGTTGGAGCAGAAGTTAGCCACTCTGCAGCGTCTGTTAGCCACCACTCAGGAGGCCTCAGAGAGCAGCTGGCAGGTAGGAAATACCACGTTTCATTCTTCACAAGTTGAGGAACAAGTGCAGCTGTGATCATGCTTTCTGGCAGCTCAGCATTTAGTCTTTTTAGTAACATATAAGTATAGTGTTTCCCACAAATCACAAATATGAGCACAACAAAATGAGGCACAGCACTTTCATTGGTTATTTAATAATAGAGCCTATATAGAGTTGTGAACTTGGATTCACCTCGAGTTTGCAACATCATATCTAACTGCTCATATTTAATCAGGGTCATTTAGTACACTACGCTGCGATTAGTTAAACTAATTTGTGTTGTTTTCATCTATAGATGGTATCTAATGTGATAAGGACTGCTGTAAACTAAGTGTGTGTCTCCTACAGGCTTTGATTGATGAGGACCGTCTTCTCTCCAGGCTGGAGGTGATGGGCAGTCAGTTACAAGCTTACTCTAAGGTATACATACACATAAAAAAATGGCTGCATACTTCTACAATGAATCAAAGCAAAGTTAAAATGATCATCGCATTTTAAAATTCTCTTTCAGTCCCAGACAGAGGAAGGGATCCGTAAGGAGCTCTTGGCTCTTCAGGAGGACAAACACAACTACGAGACAACGGCAAAGGAGTCTCTGAGGAGAGTTCTGCAGGAGAAGATTGAGGTGGTCAGGAAGCTGTCAGAGGTGGAGGTACAATACACATGTGTATATGGTATGCACAGAATGAAACTAATTAAAATTTCTAAGCTTAACATTTGGTGCCATCTCTGCTGTTGTGCAGCGCACGCTCAGTAACACCGAGGACGAGTGCACCCACCTGAAGGAGATGTCTGAAAGGAGTCAGGAGGAGCTGAGGGAGCTCGCCAACAAGTACAACGCGGCCGTTAATGAGATCAAAGAGCTCACTGACAAAATTAAGGTAACCGTCAAGGAAAAATTATTTATTTTCCTGCAGCATTACTTTATTTTAGAACAAGTTTTATTTAAATGTGTTTTTGGGAGATATATTTAGAATAAAATTATCTACAAATTCAGTAGAGGGAATCTGTGCTCATTTTAAGCTCATTTTGTGTTTTATCCTTAGACTCTGCTAGAGCAGCTTTGCATTATTTATAGTTCAGAATAATCCTTATTTATCAAAAATGGGAGCTGTGTTTTATGTAGCATATAATCTTTTTTTCTATTTGCTTTCTCCCCATTTCCCTCCTTATTCCACTTTTTTTTACCCTTGTCTTTGTCCTCTTCTGTTCCTTCCTTTGGCTAACCTCTCCTACGTCCTTTTCTCTTCCTCCAGGCTGCAGAGGGAAGACAAGAGGAGCTCACTCAGCGGGGCGCGACAGAGAAGAGGGAGTTGGAACTACGGATTGAGGAAATGGAGGAGAAGGAGCAGGTTCTCCAGGCTCGCATCGAGGCTCTGCAGGCAGACAATGACTTCACCAATGAGAGGCTCGCTGCCCTGCAGGGTACAAACACACGCGCGCGCACACTTCAATTCATGTGGCATTACACAGACTTGGACGCTTAATCCAATCATATGGTTGCGTAAATCAAAGCTTGATCCCAAAATGTAATAAAAGCAACTGGACAGCAACTTCTCATTCAGGAGGAGCTCAGAGTTGATCTGCTACTTGCAATTAGACATCTGAGTGTATTTAGGCATCCGATTAGGATGTTGGATCTGTTTTGCAATAGTTAATGGAGAAAATGACAAAGTGTATTTTGACTAAATTGTGAGGAGGTCATATTACTGTAGTATGAGACAGGTGGCTGGTCAAAACAATTTATAACAAATGAAAGGTCTCCTTTTTACCTGTGCTTTAATAACATGCTCATCCTCTAGTCATAATCCTTTTCGCAGCTTAAAAAATGCCAGCCCTCTCGTGTACTTTGTGGTCCAGTAACTTAGAATATTTATAAACATCATAGCCAATTTCAGTTTTGTACTGAATGACCTGGTTAAACTCATGATAGGTTGGATACATTAAATGATGGTTTTTCAGTCACCTGGTGATCAATCTGCATCATCTGCATCTTTACAACTATACACAGAGCAAACACACTGTCCTATTTAACCCGCTGGCATAGTGATCCCTTTACGCCAGTCACTTTAATAACATAGCGCCTCTTGTGCAGGTCAGATCATGTCTTCGACCTGTGCTCGGACTTCCTGTCAGTCAACACTTCTCTCTGCTTTTGTTGTTGTTGTTGTTGTTGTTGCTTACAGTGCGGTTAGAACAGCTACAAGAGAAAAGCATTAAAGAGAACAACAGTCTGGGTGAGTCCACATGTCCTGGGTTTGCGTCATCTGCATCACCGTCTGTTTGTGTATCTCTATCACTTCCTCAGCCTCCACTAATGATGCATGACAGCTTCCTGCATGATTTCCATGTAATTTCCTGTTGCTTGCTGCTCTTATCACTGAACTTCTATCTGTCTGTCACGGGAATCTGGGTGTCTTCTGTTTTCGTCTTGTTTATGGTAGCATGACATCCAGCCTTCGGGTTTCCATTTCCTCCGGTAGTTTATATCTTGGTGCAGGAACTGAAGCGTTCAAATAAGTCCTGAGAGTATTCAGAAAGTGTCATCTTTTTCCACGTTTATAATCAGAAACATAAACACTGAGATAAAATGACCTAAATTTAAGTTTTCAAATATTAGGAAGGTTTATAATAATTAGTTTTAGGTGATGTTACTTATAGAAATACGATGTTACACAGCAATATTACTGGGGGGTTAACAGGAAGTTAAAATAATTTATCAGGAATATATCCAGTTTTGAAAATCAGTGGAGAATATATTGGGCATGGTTGTCAGGCTCAGTTGCAGCCCTCTCCTCTTATACAGACCTATTATATGAAAAGTGGCTGCACATGAGCGCACCCTGCAGCATTATTGACTATCATAAGTCACCAGAAATGGGAGCTGTAGGACCAGCATCATTTATGCTTATTACAGTATGAAATATAGCAAATATTTCCAACTTTGTAAAGGTTGTTCTTATTATTCCAGTTATGACTTATTTGAATAAGTAAACAAATAGTAAAGCTTTACACTGCATGTTAAAACAAATTAGGGGATTAAGGCACCGCACACTAGCTGCATCCATCATACAGTATGTGGGTTCTTGTGCAAAAAAACGTTGTGGTCATTTTCCAGAGATTTTTACGGTTCGCTCACCAATAAAGCAGCTCAGTTTTATAGTGTAACTACATATATCTCTACAATGATTCCAGCTGATGTAAGATGTTGCACTAGGCAACGAGAATAGAGGGAATAGAGGCGAGTTCAGAATTGATTGAGCAACTTGAGCAAAAAACTTTCTTTGTTTGTTTCTCAACTCTTCAGCTGTGATTCTTCTGATGCCATTAAGAAATGGAGGGGAAGCTTGATGACGCCCTTAAATGGCAGCTTGAGCTGTTTGGTTTAACTTTGCTGTGAGATAGTGAGAGGAAGAAAAATGTCGTTTGGAGAAAAGTGAGCGAGATAGGGTTATTATTATTATTTTTGGTACATTCTGAAACTGGGAGTTGAAATGTGAAAGTGGGTCTCTGACGAACAGGTAAAAAAATATGACGTGAAACTAAGGCGAGTAAATATTTTACCTAAAACAACCAAAGGTTTGCTGATGCTGTGGCTCTGGTGATCTGAACTTTAATTTATGTTAAATTAGTAGTTTTTACCCCTCAGCCGTAAAAGGCTGATGAGGTATTGTTGTCACACCGCCTAAAGCGTTTTCTTTTTAATGATTGTTCAGGGGTACATCTTTTCCTTAGGGATTAATAAAGTATTCTGATTCTGATTCTAAAGTCTTTTGAAGCCAAAGTGTTTCATGTGACCTTCAGTTTCAGCTCTGTGTGAAGCCCGTAGGATTTGTACAAGGCTTCATGTCCTTTAAATAGCTCGATGGTCGGTATATCCACTGGTGATAGTGATGGAAGTTTTTTTTCTGGGGCTTTTTGGATAATCTGGGCTGTTTCTCTGGTTTCCAAACTGTCCACTGCTTTGTTTTTCTTCCTGTGGGGGGAAAAGTAGCCTTGGTCACTGATTGACTTCTGGTCATTGAATGCCTGACACTCTGAACATGAACGCTGCGGGTGACTGCCTCACTGCACACCTCGCCACAGTAATCACCTTATGACGGAACCCGCCATCATTTAGACTCTGTGCTCAACATTTCTGGTGACATTTCGACAAAATCGTCTATATCTGATCTGGTCACATGACAGATGTCGTCACTGTCCCCCACGGACCAGTAGAGGAGCTTGTCGAGGACAGAGATTCCACACAGCAGATACGCGAGAGCCAGGAGGAAGACGATGATGAGGAGGATACAGACACCGATGATGGTGCAGTTGGGGAAGATGAAGATGCTGATGGTAGTTTAATTATCATAATAATAAACTATTTAATTTATATCTAGGCTTGTTTTTTAAAAAGGTTTTCCTTCACAGAATTAACAAAACAAAATGCTATTGTAATACAAATAATTAGAAAAGCATTTAGGGAATAATTTGCTCTTGATATTATTTGGGGGGGGGTTCCCCAGGTTTTTAGATTTTTATTTTTTTTATTTTTTTATTTATTTATTTATTTTTTTTTAACATTGATCTTTATTTTAGGATACAGACAAACACTTTCTAATTTAAAAATGCATTTTATTTTTTTAATCACTCCTTTAAACCCTCTTAGTGAGGAACTAGTTTTACCTAGTAATTTATGAGTGCAGAGTGACCTTAATCCCGTTCAAATCTGCCATCTCTAATTACTCCAACCAGGAGATCATGTGCTTGGTTTGGTTTCTGTCCTCTGGCAGGATTCAGGATTCAACTGAACACTGCCTTCTGGGCCAGTCGATCAATGCTTTTTCTGTTCATGGGTTTGCATACTGTGTAATGACACAATATCTCCTAAATTGGTGCCCACAGTGGTCCAAAATGTGTTGGATTTTTTCCCCTTTCCGTTTCTTTTTTTTAATGAAGTGGGTTAAGATCACAGACACTATCCAAGTTTTTGTTTTTTGTTTTTTTTAAACAACAGCCAGTTAAACATTCCTGCCACATCATATTACGCATGACTATCCTCCAGTTTTCTTGAAATAACCTATTTCAGATGGTGATACTTTACTTAAAATGAGCCTCATATTTTGCACATTTAAATGATAACTTGTTTGATCCGAGCCTTGAATTCAGTTTTTGTGATTTGTTAGAATTTTGGGAGTTAAACTGTATCATCTTTTTGATTTCACTTTGTTTTGGTAAAGTCTCTACTTAGATGCAAAAATGAGGTGGAATTATTATTATCATTATTATTATTTCTTCAAAGTTCGAGCGGACTTGTGAAAACTGTTGGGCTGGTTAACTCGTTATTTCTTGTGCGTGATGTTGAAATGAAAACTTGCTGGGAGGCTTTGTTTCCTGTCTGCTGTTTGCTTGTCCACATCTTGTCTGATGTGGTATCTGTCCAGAACCTTTGTGTTATAACTTTCTGTCTGAAGAGACCAATTTTGGCTTTAATTTCAGCTCCATCCTTTTATTGTGCATCTATCTGTCCTCATAGTTCTCTGTAAATCGTTCTTTCATGCATTCTACCTGCTTCTACCTGTTTGTCCGTCATGATTTCTGTCTTTGGTTCTACCTGTCTGGTCTAAAACCGGGTTGGGTCTGGAGAGCCAATTCTCCACTGGATCCTGTTCCAGATTTGTCGATCCTTAAGGACAATGTTTTGTGATTCTGCTTATCTAATCCAGAACATTAAGTTTTATGGTCTGCTCTTCAGTGTGCTTATATTGGCTACACGGGCACAAGCACGTAGGATGCAGTAAACCCACTTGTCTTGCAGTTCAATATAATATTGCAATAAAACCAGTTTAGAATCAGGACAAATTTAAAAAAAAAAAAATCAAAATCCAGAAATTCAAAAAAATTGTATTGATCTGCGTTAAATCCATGATTCAATTTACCCTGGCATTGATAAGCAGAATCAATAAAATCGAAAAGAAATACCGGGCTCTGCTCTGATAGTCTTAATAGTAATGTCAGTTCTCTGTGTTTCTATCAGACAACTGTCATGTTAACAACAGCGGAGGAGACTCGACTAGAAACCAACAATTAATTGACTGTCCGCGTGAGTACAAGCATCCATTTCTGCTGTACACCGAAACACTTTTTCCTCATTATTTCCTTTACTTTCTTCCCACGGAGGCCAAACAATGCCAGGAGAAGCCAAATGAAACTGTCAGAGCGCTTAAGTCATAAAATGAAAAGCACAACATTTAAGTTATACTTAGGCAATTTTTATTTTGTTTTCCTCAGAATTATAAGATCTGGACACTAACATTTAATAACTAAAAATTTCTTCCACTAAATTCCAATAATACCATAATATCCCACTTTGTAATGATTTTAAAAATTCTAAATTTCGAGATGTGATGTAATGAAATCTACATTTTTCTTACTCATTCTTCACATGCCTTAACACATCATCGCATCCTTGGATTTTCCTGGTTTAAAGTTGTTTCTGTTCTTGCTCATTCTTCTTTACTTAACTAGTGAACTGTGATTAAATCTTTTGGATGAAGATTGTTTTTCTTTAATTGGATGTTTCTTCAGAGCAGTTTTATTTTGTGTGAAACAGGCTGGTAAAGAGTATTCTGAGAAAACTGCAAGTGTTCTTTTCATAAAGATGGGCTAAGCAGCATAAACTTTTTAAGGTTGAGTAGTATTAAGTGTAGTATTTAAACCTTAAGCAGCCAAACTATTTTATGCAGATATAATTGTTTAATGGCTATGTTTGTGTTTTCATGGTTTCAATCAAATGTTCTTTGCTGCTGTGGGTCTTTTAGTTTGTTCACTGCAAAATATCATGTAGTACAAAGTAAAGAATAAAAATAAAGTATGATTTTAAAACAACACAAGAAACAAAACAACATCGATTTCTAGCACAATTTTCTATTATCCTTGCCACACCAAAGGATGATCTCTTAAAGAAAAGTTGTAGATAAGGTTGGGCGATATGTAAAATTTTTCCAGTCCAATAACCGATGATAGGCGATATATTCATGCAGGTGACTTTTTTTTATTGGCGGAGCAATGTGATTATGCACAGACTGATTTGAGTGTTTAGAATTTATACGTTTTGTTTGGAGGGAATATTCTACCTTCTTTTCACTGCGGCCACAGTGATGCGGACGCTGCACCGGTCCATCGTGGTGAAGAGAGTGTAAAAGCGAAGCTCTCAATTTACTGGTCGATCTACGTCCCTATCCTCACCTATGGCCACGAGCTGTGGGTAGTGACCGAAAGAACGAGAGCGCGGATACAAGCGGCGGAAATGAGCTTCCTCCGAAGGGTGGCTGGTCTCTCCCTTAGAGATAGGGTGAGAAGTTCAGCCATCCGGGAGGGGCTCAGAGTAGATCCGCTGCTCCTCCACATTGAAAGGAGCCAGCTGAGGTGGTTCGGGCATCTAACAAGAATACCTTCTGGGTGAGGTGTTCCGGGCATGTCCCACTGGGAGGAGGCCCCGGGGCAGACCCAGGACACGCTGGGGAGATTATATCTCTCGGCTGGCCTGGGAACGCCTTGGTGTTCCCCCGGATAGGCTAGAGGAGGTGGCTGGGGAGAGGGAAGTCTGGGCTTCTCTGCTTAGGCTACTGCCCCCACGACCCGGCCCCGGATAAAGAAGAAGATGGATGGTTTTTTTCTGATGAAAAAAAAAAACAGTCTATACTACTCTGCAAGAGCGACATCTTGTTTTTCTGTCAGCAGCAGCACATGAAATTTACCTCACTGCAGCTGGTACAGACATGAATGAGCTCTCTTTGTGATTATTCCTAAAATCACAGCACAGCTGTTGTTTTTGACTGTTGTGAATGAAGAGAGCAAATATGTGTTATTGGGAAGATTAAGTTAAAGTGTTAATACCATTTGTCAGATCATTTGAGCAGGCTTTAGCTGAAAAATTGTGAAACTAGAGGTTCATCATGAGGAACCAGGACCCACCTAAGCCTTAATTTCAGTTTTATTTTTCATGGTTCTGTGAGAATAATTAGATTACATTTGGAGCCTGGTGATGTTTCACTGACCAAATGTTCCTGCATATTGAACTCTTTCTTCCTCTTTTTTTAAAAAAAGCCCACACATATATATTGTTTGCTTTGATTTCCTTATGGCATCTTTTATTCTTCTTCTCCTGGAGCAGTGTTTTTTCCTGCATGCTGCTTTTATGACTTTTCACTAACGTGAAACAGATTTTTTTTTTTGCTCCCTTCTATTTTTTTCCCCCCTCGTCTTCCTTCTCTTCTAGTTTCTTCAATTCACATAACTTTGGAAATTTTACCTTTTTACACATTGACCATGTCTTCACTCATACCAGAAACAGCAAGTGTGTGAAAACATTTGAGGAAACATCACCCACTGTGGAATTTTTATTGCTGCTGTACCTTGTCGGTTGATTACATTTACTGTCAGCTGTCAGCCACATTCTGGTGTGGTTTATAATGCACAGATGGAGATTAGGACTTTAGATCAGTGGTTCTTAACCTGGGTTCGATCGAACCCTAGGGGTTCGGTGAGTCAGTCTCAGGGGTTCGGCAGAGCCTCCACCGTGACATGCACCGCTCATTTTGTGCACCAATAAAAAACATATCTATGTCTTGAATTTGAAAAAAATCATATTTTATTTTTCACTAAAGAGGGGTTCAGTGAATGCGCATATGAAACTGGTGGGGTTCGGTACCGCCAACAAGGTTAAGAACCACTGCTTTAGATGAAGCTTTAGTTTTAAGGTCATTTGGAATTGATTGAAGTGAGCTATGTTAATTTTGTAGTTTAATTTCACATTTATTGTGTGAACAGCTAATAACAGCTGGTAAGCGTAGTTTGGCTTTTTCAAGGGTCTCGATTGCATTAAGTATTTATTTTTTATTAACTTTATTTCCACATTTGAATTCAGTTAGTTTTTGCTGTACAAAAATGTCATTGGATTTATCATACTGAATGTAAGGATACATAAGTGAGATGTCACTGCAGTAGTGATTAATTACTTCAAGCTGTCAGCTGGTTCAGTGTTTTACACGTTTTTTCCTGTCGTCTGATAATTGTGTTAAAATGATTCATCTCTGATTCAGCTGTTCAGTTTGAGAAGTTTGAAATAAAACATTACTTTTTCTGAATTTGTATACTAACACTTTTACTAACCAACTGCTAATCCAGCTGATAATGGTGGCAGTCAGATTTTATTTTCTGACTTTTTTAAACTGATTCCTTCTGGTTTTCTGTTTTTTTTTCTGTCTGCAGCTGTCATAGAGCTAAAGAAGACCGTCAGTGATTCACTCCACAAACTGGCCAACTTTGATGGTAAGTTAATAACTCAGTTTCTTTTGGATTTCTTTTGTTTTTTGAGTCCTGATATAGATTCATCCATGAACAAAAGCAAGCTAAATGGATTGCTGTTTTTTAAAACCTGAACTGAAATTTTCACCCTGATGTTTCTGTTGAAGTGATGGACGCCCACTTACAGAACAACCAGACGGCGGGAGATGACATCCTGACCAGCCCTGATCGACTCAAAGGTAGAGAACACACCAGAGTTAGAAATTAGGTTTTATGATATTGTTTTATTTTTTTTAAATGTTCAGTTTTAATGATCCCAAAATTACATTTGATTTAAGTAGAAGTATAAATCTACCTGAACACTGTGCATGTGTTCCAGCTGATTAAAGTAATTTATTGGTTTTGAATTTGATGGCACGAGTAAATGTTGACTGTCAAGTGATTACACTGTAGTTTTTTAGTTAGTCCTGGCTGATGTGCATGTTTGTTTTCGTGTGTACGTCCACAGGGAATCAGATGGATGCCAAAGAGTCAGACATGTCCGACACTCTGAGTCCCAGCAAAGACCGCAGCAGTGACGACACGTCAGGTCAGTGAAAACACCCATACATTCTTGCTCATCGGTTTAAGTCTAATTTTGGCAATTCCAAAATTTGTCTTGTGTTTTCTCAGTTTTACTGGAAAGGTTTTTCTTTTCCACCTAATTTCGAATAGCGTTGACATCTGTTTAAAGTTTAGCTGCTCTGTCTCACACTGTCTGCTCTTCAATCTTTAATTAATCATAGAGTAGCTTTACAAATTACTGAGAATGTTTAGATTTTTTCCTGAGGGTCATAAATGAGTTGCCTGAAAGAGATTTGTGTTATGTATCTTTTAAAATCGCTTGTTCTCTCTAGCAGTTTATTATGTCAGTATCTGATTCGCCTTGAAACTGCTGGAGTATAGATCCTAAAGCAGCCACAGGAGTTTTACGCGTTTTTGTGTGTTTCAGATGGAAACATGAACGACCAAGAGCTGAATGAACCCCAGAACAGAGTAGCTCTGCTCAAAGGTAACTGTGGCCGTGCATCTGTGATCATAAACCCCAAAACACCGGGCCGCCCAGTTTGATTATTGTATTTAACTGACCATTAGGAAGATGTTCAGCTGTGCTGGTCCCTGAAGGGCCTGGTGTTTTTTCCATTTTAGAGTTTGTGTCTACAGACTGTATAAAAGGCGGATGAAGCGAAGCCTGAAGTGCCTTAAACTCTCACCCCTGCTAATGGCCAGCAGGGGGTGCCTTTGGGTGCAATAAGAAGTCTAGGTGTATTAAATATGAGTGGGGGAAAAAGGCCTCATTGCCATGACCTGTGACCTCAGTAAACTATTTCCTGCAGTTTGTGGTCTCAGGCGATATTTTAAATAAGCGCATTTTTTAAAGCTGGGATTGCATTTACTTATGTCTAATATACACATGTAAATCTGAATAACTGAACCAGGACGTCATAGCAACTTCATCCGTCTTTTCAATAAAATATCTACTAGCTACTATCTAGTCAGCTGGACACCCCCCACCGCCCCCACCCACTACACTCCTGACTGACTGAATAAAATAGTCCAGTCAGTTATGTTCAGTAAGTTGATATCCACACTGCCACCGTGTGCTCAGTCATTTATTCATATATGTATTTATTGAACAGTGAAGAAGTTAAGTCTGGAAAGTTCCTGTTTTTTGAATAAAAATACAGATAATTTGTAGACCCTGACTTTGTCATTGAATAATAATAATAATAATAATAATAATAATAATAATAATAATAATAATAATAAATAATGTACTTAACATTTTGTATGTGTCTGTGGTTAGATGAGCTACATCGGGCCGGTCTAGAGCCTGGAGACACGGAGCAGGTCATCCACCATCTCCACAGAGAGCTTCTGGAGGCCCAAGAATTAGCCAACACCGGCAAGCAGAAATGTCTAGAGCTACAAGGTAACAGTGTTCTCACAATGCTGTGGATTATATTTTATAATTAGAATTTTAATTATAATTAATAGCTCGCAAACTTTGTTTGAATTAAAGTTTACCTCATACATTTTTACTACAGTATTGTTGAGTTTGTGAGATTACAGTTCTTGCCCTGCATCGCTTCAATTATACGTTGCATGAAAATATAAAAGAACAGTGGTATAAACATAATGACTGTGTGACTCTTGGTGTGCAGCTCTGTTGGAGGAGGAGAGGAGGAGTAACTCTCAGCTGACTGAGGAGTCGACCAAACAGATCCAGTTCTTGCAGAGTGAGTGAATACAGAGAAAAATATGTACTATAGATTTGTATCAATAAGTATTTAGCTGCCACATCTCACTTCCTATGTGCTTGTGTGTTTTTAGCTCAGCTTGGGAAGCTTCAGGCTGACATGGAGGCACTGAGGGAGCAGAGGGAGAGCACCATCTGTAGCACCAGAGAGGAGCTTTACTCTGCCCAGGAGGAGGTACCTCTTCACCTACTGTTGCTTCCAGTTCTTCATCATAACTCTTCCTTACTTCTCTTCCATTCTGTCTTGAAACCTCTCTTGGCTAATGTGTAACATGTCAGACTCTTCATGGACTCCAGGGTTTGAGTGGGTCATTAATAACCCTTTAAAAGTTGAAATTGCTAATAACAGCTAAAAAAAAACTAACTAAAAAAACTGAACTAAAACTAATAAAAGGGAAAATTTTAATTAACTGAAATAAGACAACAAACTGAAACAACATTGTGTGCAATTAAAAATATTCAGGGAATGTCTTTGGGTTTACTCAGTCTGGTTACATTTTTTTAACACACAAGTCCTCAGGAGGTTTTAGTGCATCTTACTAGGGGTGCAACGATACACAAAATTCCCTGTTCAGTTCAATACTTTGGTGTCACACTCCGATACAAATTTTTTTTAAATTTGTCATTTATTGAAATTATAAATATATATTTTAACTCAAAAGTACAGTTTTTAAATTTAATGCTGAAACAACAAAATAATTAAAAAAAAATCTATCTGATTGAGGAATCACTCATCTTTGGAAAAGAGAGTTTATTACAGAGAAATGGCTCTTTCCAAAATAAAAGCTATACTATACTCTTCTTCCGGGGTATATTCTCAGCAGCATATTAAACATATCAGGTCCCCATAAGGTGCTAACGGCTGTCTAAATGACTCGGGTAAAGTTTGTAGCATGCGTGCTTGTTGTTTTTGTCTGCTTCCAATTTGCACTAGGATGATGTTGGTATAAATGTGCAGTCATATTCGTTGTGTTCCCACTAGTGCTGTCAGTGTTAATCTCGTTAAAATGACATTAACGCCATAACGCGGCAAATCTCCGTTAACAAGTTACCGCAGATCGCCCCGTGCATGGGGCTGGACGGCGTCAACATGTTAACAAGCTAACTGCGCTAACGCACTAGTTCCCACCAATGTAATTGAGCATTGCGTGGCACATCCAACATACTGTTTTACTTTTGTCCATGACTCGCTTACCATCAGGGTCATGCTTCACATGAAGACCAAAATAGTTCCAAACACCAAATCTGAATGAGGGTGGGGGAGGTTCAATTTGCCATGTTGCAACGAGCTTAATTTTTGTCTTGCTAGCTTGTGCTGCGCTCAGTGGATCTGCGCTCGACAGTGCAGCCTAGGCAGAGTAGTCGAACGCAGATCCACTGAGCGCTCAACACAGACAGCATCGTCAGAAGGAAAGTTGATAAAAGAAATAAAAAATTTGTATTGTTCAATATCGATACAAGTATCGTTGCACCCCTACATCTTACATCTTGCCTGTGGAAATATTTTTAAAAATATTTTCTTTTGAAATCATTGTAATAATAACAAACATTGAAACTAATAAAAATGAAATTGTAACTAGACATTCTTGTTTTAAAAATGACAAATAGTAAACAATGTGACATTGTTCGCTCATAGTCCTTTCTAAGTTTATAAAAAACATTATAAGGATTTGTTTGTTTGTTTAAATGAGTCAGGAACCCTGGAGTCTCTGTCACTCATTCTTCGTTATGCAAAAAGCCTCCCTGTTTGTCAGTTTGCACCAAATTGTAGTCTCATGAGAAAGTGACCGAACCACCGATTGTGTTTTTGCTCTCAGATTCTTGTCCTGCGACACGCTATGGAGGCGGCCACGGCAGAGCGGGAGCGTGAGATCACTGTCCTGCAGGCAGACCTGGTCAGTGTGCGCTCCGAGCTAGAGCACTGGAGGAACACAGCCGCCAAATACGAGGAGGAGATCGCCCGGCTGCAGGAGGCCTTCACGCAGCAGGAACAGCAGCAGACTGCTGCCAGCGAGCTGCAGGGTGAGCACTGCCTGCATGTTTGTCTTAGGCTGTCTGTTCATGTCTTTGAATCACTACTAATCATAACTGTGCATCCTCTGTCTCGCTGCCACAGTGGAGTGCACTGCATTGCACCAGCGGTGTACGTGTTTGCAGCAGGACTGTGATGGCCTGAGAGCTGAGAGGAAAACACTCACAGAAAAACTGCACCGCCTGGAGGCTGAGCTGAGCAGGTACACACACATTGCTTTAAATTTTTTTATCTGAATCCACTGTTTTATTTTATTTATTTTACTATACTGCAGTGCTGTCAGAATTATACAAGATCACATTTAATTATTTGTCAAAAAAAGATCCACACAGCTATAAACCATTTTGAATATAGCGTTACTAAATAAACACCACTTTGAAACTTATATTCTCTTAACTGGATCTCAAGCTGAGAGTCTCGAAACCTGGAACATATCAAACTTTGTTAGGTGGACGTTAAAGTCTTTTGACAGGCGTGATCGAGTTGATGAATTCTGGCCCAGGACGGCTCTCGGGAGCAGTGCCAAGTCGACAGATCAGGTTCAGAGTTTGGATTCAGCATTAAAGGGCAGGCTGAGGGCGAGACTGACAGAAGGAAACATGGTGTCCAGCTGATTCAGGCAGAGAAAGACGAGGAGATGACAGCTGACTGACAGCTCACTGAGACTATCTGCCAGATTTGTTCTCCACTGAGAGAAAACACTGCTGCATGTTCTCACCACAACCACGTCCTCAGCAGGATTTTATCTGTGCTTCAGCTACATTTTTTTTTTTTACTAGTTTACAATAAACTGTACACATCTTTTGACTTTCTACAAAGAGATGAATGCACTTTGGACATGGACGATTCTTATCCGGCATATTGACAGCTGAGGTAAACAGTGAACTGACAGCCTACCCAGATAGCAAAAACCTCCAAGCTGGATCCAGTTCGGAGTCACTTTGCTGTCTGAGTACACTCACTACAGATGAAAGGTGGTCAGAGCTTTTGAGGTAATTCAAAGGATAAAAAAATAGGATACTGCAAGATAGTTACACACCCATCTGTTTTGTATTTCCTGGTTTATTACTGTTGTTGATATTATTCAAAAAAGTTCAGGTCGAATGTACAAAAAACGTTTTCTTGTAAACAAACAGTAAACATCCATTATGGGCTAATCTAATATAAATGTTTTTTGATCTTTTGACTGAATGAATCACATTATTCCTACAACAGCCACCTCAGCAGGAATGATCCGGTTGATTTGGGAGGAGTAAGCAAACAATTTGAACTGACTGAAATCTATGGACAACTAGCTTTGAAATCTTACACACTGTAACTTTAAAGTTTAAAAAGGAATTTATTTAGATTTATTTAGTTGTTATGGAAGATAAATGACTTGTAGAGTCAGAACCATGTTTTGTACCAGCCTGTAAACAGGTTTATTTCTGCTCTAAAGTTGGAAATCCCTTTTGGAACCAGCCTCAAGTGGCTGTTAGAGGAACTGCAGTATTTGGGACTACTTTGTTGGCTTACTTTTTTATTAAGGTCTAGTGTAGTTATGTTTGTAATTGCAAGCTCGACATATATTTTAACTACAGTTGCACTCAGAAGTAATCAAGCATTTTTTTCTCCTGTGTTTTAAAGTTATCAAATCCCAGGAGAAGACTGAAAACCACTTTAAAGAGATCTCACTAATGAGAGTTGTCAGCATTTCCAAAGTTTGATTTTGCTGTTTGTGGATCAATTTCTGCATTTGAACTCTTTCTGATGACATTTAGGGAAACAAGTCGGAGTGTTTTTTAATGTTGTGACATTTTGTTGCAGCATTTACATAAACAAGCTAAATACAGAAATCACTGTTTACAGTACCAGTCGAAGGATTTGATCCACATGTTGGACAGAAGGTTTTCAAAACTATAAACACATGTATAAACTCCATGTTCCAGTTTATGTTGCATGTAGCTCTATAAGCAGAAAATCATATTGGAGAGCTACGTCAAAAGGAATTTACCAGTATAAATTCCAGTAAAATGTTCTATCAGATCAAAATCTTCGCTGTCAATAAAAGAATTCCCGTCAGCACATAATTTTCCATATCATAATGCATTTGTAAGATGGATGAGGTCAGTCAGTGCCGAGACACACTGAGGACTTGGCCAAAAACATACCCCTAGTCTATTTTTGATGGATGGTGCACCAAGCTGCATAGTGCAGATAAGCAGGACAGGAAGCCAGACACAGAGAAAGCATACAGTTTGGTCATTTGTATGAACCAGGCACTCATCTGTTTACCAGCAGTGATGGTGAACACATGACTATTGAGAAGACACGACTATTTGTTAACATTAAGTCTCACTCTTCATAATAAAAAAGGGAAATGCAATGTTTGTGCCTTTTTTTGCTAAAATTATTTTTAAAAATGTTGTACATCATGTGTAAGGTATCCCAGTTACACACAATGATTTATATATTTTTTGTTTTATAATGGCGTCTGGACAGAGTACAAAGTAATCTCTCTCAGTATTCCTACAGAGGTGCACTTTTTTTACTACCATTGGATCTACATGATACTAATAAAATCACAGCTTTAATTGTGACCACAGAAGCCCCGCAAAGGGTGTTTAAATCATTTGTCTATAAGACACAGCCAATTATGGGGGGAAAAAAGCTGGTCTAAATAGAGAGAAGCTAAAACAGCTTGTTTCAGACCGGATAAATTGAGGGCCTGTGCCAAGGCAAGTATAAATGACTCCAGAGTACAGTAAAAAAAAAAAAACCGAGCCTGAAATGAGTCTCATAAGTCTTCAATAAGGTCACAGCATCGCAAATCCTTCGAGAGTTTCTAACATTGTTGAGAAACGTAGTGGAGTGATTACTGAGTCGAGGTGTGATTTGGTGTGTTTGCAGCACCAGGGAGAAGAGTCTGGTCCTCAGCAGCAGTCTGGAGTCTCTGGAGAAGAGGGAGGAGGTTTTGCAGGACAAACTGGGTTCTCTGGAGAATCAGCACCTGCAGGACGCGAGCAGGCTAAAGAGCCAGCTGGACCAGGCCCAGGCCCACACACACACACTGCAGAAAGAGGTACGCACACAGAATGGGATTTACAGTGGGGCAAAAAAGTATTTAGTCAGCCACCGACTGTGCAAGTTCCCCCACTTAAAATGATGACAGAGGTCAGTAATTTGCACCAGAGGTACACTTCAACTGTGAGAGACAGAATGTGAAAAAACAATCCATGAATCCACATGGTAGGATTTGTAAAGAATTTATTCGTAAATCAGGGTGGAAAATAAGTATTTGGTCAATAACAAAAATACAACTCAATACTTTGTAACATAACCTTTGTTGGCAATAACAGAGGTCAAACGTTTACTATAGGTCTTTACCAGGTTTGCACACACAGTACCTGGTATTTTGGCCCATTCCTCCATGCAGATCTTCTCGAGAGCAGTGATGTTTTGGGGCTGTCGCCGAGCAACACGGACTTTCAACTCCCGCCACAGATTTTCTATGGGGTTGAGGTCTGGAGACTGGCTAGGCCACTCCAGGACTTTCAAATGCTTCTTACGGAGCCACTCCTTTATTGCCCGGGCGGTGTGTTTTGGATCATTGTCATGTTGGAAGACCCAGCCTCGTTTCATCTTCAAAGTTCTCACTGCTGGAAGGAGGTTTTGGCTCAAAATCTCACGATACATGGCCCCATTCATTCTGTCCTTAACACGGATCAGTCGTCCTGTCCCCTTGGCAGAAAAACAGCCCCATAGCATGATGTTTCCACCCCCATGCTTCACAGTAGGTATGGTGTTCTTGGGATGCAACTCAGTATTCTTCTTCCTCCAAACACGACGAGTTGAGTTTATACCAAAAAGTTCTACTTTGGTTTCATCTGACCACATGACATTCTCCCAATCCTCTGCTGTATCATCCATGTGCTCTCTGGCAAACTTCAGACAGGCCTGGACATGCACTGGCTTCAGCAGCGGAACACGTCTGGCACTGCGGGATTTGATTCCCTGCCGTTGTAGTGTGTTACTGATGGTGACCTTTGTTACTTTGGTCCCAGCTCTCTGCAGGTCATTCACCAGGTCCCCCCGTGTGGTTCTGGGATCTTTGCTCACCGTTCTCATGATCATTTTGACCCCACGGGATGAGATCTTGCGTGGAGCCCCAGATCGAGGGAGATTATCAGTGGTCTTGTATGTCTTCCATTTTCTGATGATTGCTCCCACAGTTGATTTTTTCACACCAAGCTGCTTGCCTATTGTAGATTCACTCTTCCCAGTCTGGTGCAGGTCTACAATACTTTTCCTGGTGTCCTTCGAAAGCTCTTTGGTCTTGGCCATGGCGGAGTTTGGAGTCTGACTGTTTGAGGCTGTGGACAGGTGTCTTTTATACAGATGATGAGTTCAAACAGGTGCCATTCATACAGGTAACGAGTGGGGGACAGAAAAGCTTCTTACAGAAGACGTTACAGGTCTGTGAGAGCCAGAGATCTTCCTTGTTTGAGGTGACCAAATACTTATTTTCCACCCTGATTTACGAATAAATTCTTTACAAATCCTACCATGTGGATTCATGGATTTTTTTTTCACATTCTGTCTCTCACAGTTGAAGTGTACCTCTGGTACAAATTACTGACCTCTGTCATCATTTTAAGTGGGGGAACTTGCACAATCGGTGGCTGACTAAATACTTTTTTGCCCCACTGTAAGAAAAATAAAAATAAAACACAGAAAACGCCAGGTGAGAAACAACAGAACAAATGGAAGAGATGAAAAATAAAAGTTGGAAATGGATCAATGAGTCTTTTGATAAATCCAGAGAGACTTAAGTCAGCATGAGTGAAGGTGGTTGAGCAGATGTCTAAGGCAGATGTGAATAAAGAGAGGAAACCACACTGGGGTTCTCAGAGAAATAAAATAAAATGTACCAAAATCTCCACAGTGGGGGAAATGCATACAAGCAGCAGCCTGAATGAATTTTTGAGCTCTTTTATTTAAACCCCCCAAAAAGGTTTCAGCTAAAAAGAACTTTAAGATAGACAAACAGCTACACAAGCAAGCTGCAGTCAGTATCTGTTCAGTGGAGCACATCAAGTGACATTAATTGACAAGTTGGTGATTTATTGATTATATGTTTGCTTTGGGTAATTGAAAGTTGTAAAAAATGAAGGAAAAACATCAATCTCGGCATTACCAAAATGCATTAGCAAAATGATAATAACTCAGCAGGTCAATAGTGTTTGTCAGATAGTTGTATAAAAAGTCCAGTGTTTGTCGACTGAGTTATTGGTAACAGCAGCTAGTGAGCTTTTGTAAATGTGGCACTTGGTGGATTCTCCATCAGTTTTAAAGGGGCCTGTTATTCTTTTCTGGCAGTTTTTTTTCTATTCTTGGATCTGTATGATGTCACAAGGAGAAAGGGATATCCCAAAGAGGTTAACTTTACCTGGAAGTGAACCCTTTATGCAAATGGACATAGAAATGACAGTGGTCATAGAAATAACAGTGGCCTGTGTGTGTGTGTGTCTGTGTGTCTCTGTCTGTCTGTCTGTCTGTCTGTCTGTCTGTCTGTCTGTCTGTCTGTCTGTCTGTCTGTCTGTCTGTCTGTCTGTCTGTCTGTCTGTCTGTCTGTCTGTCTGTCTGTCTGTGTGTGTCTGTCTGTCTGTCTGTCTGTCTGTCTGTCTCTGCAGTATGAAGACACACAGTCCCAGCTATCTGATCTCCGTCAGCGTTATGAGAGAACAGAGCAGGAGAAGCTGAACATCCACCAGGAGCTGGAGCAGTGCAGGAGCAGCCTCAAGCTGCTGCAGGACAAGTCCAGCTCTGTGAGTGCCCACACCAACACTCTTTGTTCCTTTATGATAAAAAACACAGACTTGTGCTTGGACTGTTTTTTTGTAATCTATGTTTGCTCAGCTTTAAGTTTTACCATAATTTATTTTTGCTTTAAGGTTGCTTTTTATGCAGGTGAAGCTGCATTTTTATCCTGACCTGTGAGAAATGTCACACAGCGTTAGTGTTGTCTAATGGCCAATAACATCTTTGTTGAAAGTAGAAATGCTCATAATGCCAAATAATAACTGGTGAGGTAACAAAATAACATTTAAATTGTGATTTTTAACTGAATTCATGCAGCTCTGTGAACACATTCAAAGCAGTTGTTTTTTTTGTTTTGTTTTTTTAAACTGACTCCTCTAGCCAAGGTGACATGTGACCTCACCGTCTCTCCTGGTTTATATCCTGTTCTGATAAATAAGCTGATGGATAAAAACTCTTGGAAACATTAATCAGAAAATCAGTGAGGCGGAGCAGCCTACTCTGTACCCCCACCCCCCTTCTTTTCTTCCTTTCCTCCTCCCTCAGCTCTTAAAACACGATATATCTAAAGGCCAATTTCTCTTCATTACAACCTTGTAATTTTGCCTCTTTAGGTTTTTTGGTAATAATAATGTTGCAATATCTGAGATCTGGGAACACGAAGGCCACACTAGAAAGTCTCATTGTTTCTGTTTTTTTATTTTATGTATTTTTTGATACAAAGTCTACAATTGATATCTATTATAAAAAAATAAAAAAATAAATCCACCATTGCTGTATGTTAAGTGAACTGATTCTCTCCTGTCCCACTTTTCTTTCATGGTCTTCTCCAATTCTCATTATCCTCACAGTGCATCGTCTTTGGGTGTTGCATGGACTAAACTGCTAGTGGTCTGTAGCTGATACAGTGTGGATAATGGAATGTGACGATTGGTTTGGAAGGTCTTCCACTACTTTTTGCTGGACCTTGCCATCCTAAATTAGGTTAACTATTGATCTAATGATGCTTATAAACTGGGTTGTAACATAATTGGGGGCTTGTCCAAGACCAGTTTAATTCTTTTGTGGAGACTAAAATGCAGGATGAGTGAAGTTTCATTTGAGATATCTCCAGATAGAAATCATTTTTTATTCAACTAGGCAGATTAAAACAAAACTCCAGATTTGATTGATTTATTTGGAAGGAAAGATGAATGGCACTGATGTGAGCTAAAAGTGTTTTTGGAAATGTCCATCAGGGTTACAAAAGATTTTCTAGACAAAAGTATTTGTATCTCATTTCACTGTGTTCCCAGATCTCATTAACCACTGTTTGCATTAATTAGCACTGATAGCAATGGAGCAAATAAGAACCTGATTATAAAAAAACTAGAGTTACCCTCTCTTCACTCAGTGCATTTCTGTTAGGCTTCTTTGTATGAACCGGTGTCCGTCGTGCTGTAAAGATCAGATTGAAACCAGCTGACAGACGGCAGCTGGAGGAGATCTGTTCCTGCTGCAGAAAAGTGTTGCTGTTTTAAAAGAGCCTGGTGACGGATGGCTGCTCCTCCGTGGCGATTGTGAATGTGGCTGCTGAATGTGTAGAAATGTTGGTGCTGCTTTGTAGAAAACGGCTGATTGGATACAAACCCAAACCCCCTCTCTCCCTTTCTTCCCTCCCCCCTCGCTGTAGCTGCTCCATCCTCCATGTTGGTTTTGGTTGATTTGCTGGCTGATTTCTTCTTATCCACTCTCCCCCTCCAACCCCTCTCCCTTTTAGCCATCCATATTGCAGCCTGTCCAAGCCATATTCATGGGCCTTGTCCTGGCTCTGCTCTACTGGTGTTTCGGCCAGTTGTGGTAGAAAGGTACACACCGACATGACATCAGTCTATCTCTCTGCCGTCCTGTCTGTCTGTCTGTCTCTGATGCGTCTATCTGTTTGTCATCACTGGAAGGTGTCAGAGGCGAAAGGGTCGTTCTGATCTGTGATGAATTCAGGGTCATGAGTTTCAGCTGGAAAACTGACGTGCTGAAATGGAAAAGAAATCTCCCTCTGAGCTCAACACAGGTTTCCGCCGTGAGAGCTGATTATTTTTGAAAATAAGAACTACAGGCATTGCTGTTGAAAGTGAAAGCTCCTGTAAACGTGTCCAACACATAAATATATTATTACAATTCTTTAAGTCTAATAGAGAAGCATTGCATGACTCATGATTTTCTTATACTGGGCCTTAATGCAGAACCTAAGTGTGAATCCTGCTGTTTTAGCTCCGCCCACTTTAATTCAATTGTTTTTTGTTTGGCAGCCCCTCATAAACAAAAAGTTGGAACACTTTCTGTACCTGATATGAGGCAAATTTGTAGGTCAGTCTCTCCTTCCAAACAAGCTACCAGAAGTGCATTCCCTTTTTTTCCCCATATGTCCACACTTTTTTTTTAATGGTCATAAATTCAGTCACAAATTAACCTAAATAAGGAGGGAATGTAAGCGTAAGGAGCAGGTTATTACTGGCAAGCATCCAAATATTCCTAAACTACATCTTTCACCATTTGAATGCTAACAGCTCAGGATGATGATGTGTTGCGGTGCAGGGTGATGATACATAAAGGTAACCCAGCTGTTGAACTCTGAATTCTGATCACCAGATCGCTCTCTTCACCTCCTAAACTTCCATTTAAGACTAAGGATCATCTTAGCCATCATCATCATCATCATCACGGCGTCTGGTCCCTCGTCTTCTGATATGAGAACCACTAACTGCATGGCTGTCAGTCTGCCTGTTCGTCTGCCAGTCAGTCTCACTTCTGCTTCTGTTCTGCTGCAGCTAACATTAACACGCTCTTGGGGCTCCCTCCACCCACAGACCCTCCATTTAAAGGGAGCCTTGTACATATGCTTCATGCTCTTCACAGCAGCGGTGTTTGACCTATCGTAGCAGGGAAAAAAACGGGTAGACAAGGCTTCTTATTGTAGACTTGACATAAAAGAGGCACCTAGCTTCCAGGTCTTTAAATACAGTATGGAAGTGCAATAAACCTGTACTCTTTCTAATGACCAGCAGGGGGAGACTCCTTTGGCTGTAAAGGGATGCCCGGGTGTCTAGAAGAAATCACCCTTCAGCTCACTTGATCTACCTCAGTAAACACATTATTAAATGGAACACCATGTTTATTTTATAAATGATGGTACAATTGGAGTCAAAAGGGTGTTATAAAACAGGGCGTGTCTACTCTGTAACTGACATGTGAGCTTGCAGTGCCCCTCAGTTTTTCCATCACACCAACCCTCGCTCGACGCGTGTAGGTTCGACACAAAGTGACTCCTTAAATCTGTTCATCTGGACGTTGTGTTTTCAGAGTGAGAAATATTTTGTCACTAAATCGGAGGATTTCTTCACTCTCTGTTAACTGTAGCTTTACCCAACCTTATAAACAGTACATTTGGATAATGACCAAAACTAGCACCACTGACTAACAACCAGCTGCGAGTTCAGTTAATTGATCAATGGCCATGAGTGCCATTCTGAATGGTACTCCAGCTGTGGTTGGAGTGGCTGCAATCACTTTTTTTAGATCACCAAAAAATGTCCTCTTTTCCCACCACTCAAACCTCAGCGTTCCTCCCTGTCCCGGATGTGCACATCCTCATTGAAAGAGTGGCCATTGGACTGTAGGTATAAATAGACTGTAGAGTCCTGGCCTGATGAAGTAGCTCTTCTGTGTTGTCCCATCTGCTTAGCCAGAGGTTGTTTGGTTTTCCCGATGTATAAAATCACGACAGTCTATAGATGGTATATAGCACTTTTCCACTCTGAGCACTCAAAGCGCTTCGCACAACTTGCCTCATTCATGCAAGCACCTTTTCTTTTATATATGTTTTTCTATGTAAGTGCTCTCTATTTAACGTTCACACACATTCATACTCTTAGCAACTTGAGGTAGTATGTTGCCCAAGGTTATTTGGAATGCAGACTATAAAAGCTAGGGATCAAACCACAACCTTCCGATTAGCAGATGACTTAAAGCTACAGCCACCGTCTGTGTACACTATATTACTGTGTTTGTGGCGGGGGAAACACATCCTTGTGGTTGACTGATCTTTAGTGTAGTGTGTTTTGAGGTTTGAAAGCCACAGAAACGCTGCGTTTTAATGAAATGCTTCTTAGCGGTTTTGATACAGCTGACATATAAGGAGTCATTAAAGGTTTTTACTGAAGCAATGATACTAGATTCAGTCATTATGGAAATTTACTGTTACTGGTTAGTTTAAGGTTGGGAAAATCAGCTGAGTCTGAAAGTCACTTGGATGAGTGACAAAATGGTTCTCCCAATGAAAATGCAACGTCCAGATAAGCTGATTCAACTTTACTGTAATTTTCTTACAATGATGATCGAGCATGGATTGAAACAAAGCAAAGAACTGCAGAAAAAATAGACTTTAAAAAAACAAACAAAAACAAAACATAGGTGGCATCCATCTTTTAGATACAGTCTGTGATGGCACTGAGATCTTTAATTAAGCTGCTGCAACATCAGGACTCACCAAGTTGGACACAGCCATTTATTTATTTATTTTATTTTGTTATTTACATGCTCAAAGTGATCTCAGAAAGGTATGTCATGTAAGATCAAAACAAATGATTTCTGAGAGAATTGAAACAAGGTATGTGGCTGTAGTGACTTTATTTTTCTGGAAAAAATGCATAAATAAATCAATCTGCCGATAATCCACCCGTCTCCAAATCCACTGACTAGATGAGAGGAATGTAAACAGCCTGGCTGAAATCGAAGGCACCGTAGGCCTCCAGGGTGTTTAGATGTGTATGATGGATGCAAATTTTGTGTCACCGCTGTACATCTATGCACACTGTACTACTTCAAAGCTTTGCCTACTTTGATAGTTTAATGATCAGGCAAGAAACCATGACCATCCTGGTAATGTCAGTCAGCAACCTAAATTGAAAATCCCAAAAAACACAGTGGAAAAAAAAAAAAGAATCCCAAATTATTATTTTATTTATGTATTTTTTGCATTTAAAAACAAAACAAAAAGAAAGCTTTCATTTTGGTGGGAAAATGTATACAGTACAGTGGGACCGGTGATCTCTGCTCTAGTCTTTAGACTCCATTGCGTGCTAACAGCTGCACCAGGAAGCGTGCGCTTACCTGATTTTCACACAAAAAGGAGTGACGTATTATTGGCTGTGCTGCAGGAGTATGGCTCGTCACAATATTACACAGATCGGTTTTTAACCTAAGCAAAGTTCAGTTGTCAAACTTATTAAAATGAATGAATTACTGTGAGGAGCAGTAACTAGAGCCACGACTAGAGGAACAATAAGTTTCTGTGTTTACCAATCCAGCTGCTGTACACAGCACTGGTGTGAAACACCCGTCACATGCACCTGCGGCTGTTTTCTTAAGCACGATCTGATATCCTCGTGTCGGTGTTGTTCCCACATCATCATAATAAATGTTGTCCCAGGTTCAACATTGCAAGTGACCAATCACATTGTTGTGACATCATACTTTTGCGACTTTGGGAAAAACCGCCTTAAAAAAAAATCGACTTGACTAGCAAGACACCGCCTGATCCAGCAATTTGAATTCTTTGCATTTCAGGATACGGTTCTTTGATAAACGGTAAGCATTATACATGTTGTCCTTGCAACACTGGAATTCCATAAATGAATGAATGGCTTGGCTTGCAAAAGTATGACGTCACAACAATGTGACTGGTCACTTGCAATGTTGAACCTGGAACAATATTTATTATGATGATGTGGGAACAACACCGACACGAGGATATCAGATCATCCGTTTTCTTACTGCAGCTTTACTTCATCGTATATGAAAACGTGGCTGTCCCACACTGAAAGCAGCACCTGAACGCCTCCTGTGTAAACAGACTGCTGAACCGCTCACTCCTGACCGTTCACAGTTAGCAGTGTGTTAAAATTTTAAGTTAAGAAGAAGCGAAATGACAGAAATGAAGGGAAAAAAGTTAATCACAGCGTTTTAATGTTTATGTTCAGCCCAGTAATCTTAAATAAATTACAGTGATCCTCCTTTTGATTTGTCACTTTATCTCTCCCCGACCCGAAGAATTCAACAACATTTCAGTTTTATTTTAATTCAAAGAAAAGTCTGTGAGAAATGTAGATGAGCTTAATTCATCTGTGGAAACTTCTAAAGGTCGCCCTTCTGTTTATTTGCACTCTGTTCCCCTTTAAAGAGGCGTGCTCTGACCATCGCATCTTAAAGGCTAACCCTCTCCTTCCACCTGCCTCATTCAGTCACTCTCCTCTTCCTCTCCGTTAGGTTTTCGGTGCTTTATTTTAGCTTTCTTTAATTACATGTTGCTGTTCTCTCATGTTTCTTTTTGCAGGGTTTGTTTTTAATTTCATTTATTAATCTTTTTTCTTCTTCTGTGTTCTTGCATCCAGCTGCTGCTTAACTTCAGTTATTTTCATCTGTTACTGGTTTGTTTTTTTTATTGTCTCTTTTTCTGCAGCCATTCTTACTTTCTTTATTTCTGAAGCATCCATCATCACGTCCATCGTGTTTGTGTTGTGTTTGCTGCTTGTTTGTTTATTCGGGAACGTCTGACCAGTATGCCCAGTTGTTGTTTGCTTTGAGGGGAAAATGTTCTGTAACTTTTCTGTTGTTCTGCTCAGGTAACCTAATTTATTTTGCTGCTTTTTGTTTTTGTTTTTTTTAAATTTATGTTTTTTATTTAATTATTTTTTTACTTGTTTTCTCCACCTGTCCTGAAGTCCCAAAAGATGATATTGATTAAATTTGTTTCCTTTTATCGTTCATACACAAACCAGCAGAGAACTCGAGTAAAACTCGATTGTCCTTGGCAGGGATTTAAAAACTGTTTTGAATTTGAAGCAACACACACTTGGGCCTTAATTACATATTTGGTGCATAAAAGGGAAGTTGCGTTAAGCCCCTATTGGACGTAATCAATGAGGAAATTGTACTTGGCATGTTGACTTGCTTGAGTTAAAACCTTTGTTGTTTCTCACCAAAAATAAAGGATGAATCCTAAAATACCTGAAGGTTATTTGGCTACTGTAAAAATTATTCGTTTTTCTAGATACCTAATAACCTGATTGTAGTTGAAAAGGCCTTTTTTCCCCTTAGAGCTTTTCTTTGACCACAAGTTCAAAGAGCAGCATTTATAAGGACCTTGCAGTGCTGAACTGGCAGCTTTAGTCCCAACGGGCATCCCGTCTTCACATTGAGCTGCTGTCTCAAACTAGTGATGCTTCCTTTAAAAAATCTGCTGCTGTCAGAGGTCACTGTTTTAATTCAAATCTACAAAATTAGACTCAAGGCTTCTCCCTTAAACTAGCAATGTTTTATAGTGAATAGGACTTTTATTGTTTCAGATTGATTAGACAAAAGGTTCCTTTCATTTTTCACCTCTTATTTTGAAACAAACTTTACTATAAAAAGATATTTTTAACTGGTTTTAGTTGTCTTGGAACTACATGAATAAATGAGTGTACATGTTTACACTAGTTTTGATTCCACAGACTGCAAATAAAAGATGGACGCACCCATCGTGATGTCACCCATTGTTCTGTGGGCAATCCATTGATAAAATACTGAATTTGATTAGCCATATTATTCAGATCATGACATTACAAATATTCTGAAGGGGAAGAAGTTTAGCTGACCCTTTTGAGCAGCCTGGGTTTGAAGGCCGTCTGCTCTCTTCCCACTTGTGTGTCAAAAATCTTCCCTGTCCAATCAAATAAAGGCCAAAAAAAGGCCAAAAAATAATGTTAAAAGCTAAGAAACGGCATAAATGTATTTGAGAGGTCCAGTTCAGCCACCTGTTTCTGCGCTGTTGGTCAAAGCAGCCACAGCCTTGAAAATCTCAGCCTCAGTTATTTGAAAAATCCTGTGTAGTTGTCAGAAGCAGCAAACTATCAGAGGTCAAACCTATGTTTTTGCAGCGGGCGCTATAAAAGTTACATTTTTACATTTTAATTGGAGCCAGCCTCAGGTGGACATTTTTGTCACTTACATGCAGTTTGACTGATTCATTTACGTTGTTCTCGTTAAATAACCTTTTTTTTCCTCAATCAGATGAATTTTTGCACGAGAAAAAGAAATGAAATATCATCTTTTGGACTGAAGTGGCTTCTCTTCTTTTGTCTTTGCCTCTGTCCACTTTTACTCGTAATGTTCAAACTAACTTTATTTATTCACGCGTTTCTTCGTCTGTTTTTGTCTCGTGTGTGTTTTTTCGTTCATCTCTCTCCAACAGAGCGGCTGGAGCCCCTGGATGCCGGTCGTCGCAGTGATGGTCGCCGTGACGGCCGCCGTCCTCTACCCCAACCTCTCCAAGAGCAGCTCCACCTAGGACACAAAACACAAGCGAACACACACACGGAGCGCCGTGAGGAGAGCGTCACTGCTTTACTTGTATAAAGTCTAATTGTACATAATTGTAGAGGGATATAAAGGTTGTGGTTTCTACAGAGGACTCAGAAGCTTCTTGGATTATTTTGTTTTGGGTTTTTGTTGTTGTTTTTCCTGCGGCGGGGAGTTTTGTTGTTTTTATTCTCCGCTCTCTCAGCTCTGGTGGGGGGCTCCTTTTTTTTTTTTCTTTTTTTTTTCTTTCCCCCCCCTTTCCCCATTTTTTTTTTGTCTCTCTGCTGATTTCCAGGTAACAAAACGTTCTCCAGCAGGTGGAGCTTCCACATACACACAAAAACCTGCTTAATGCTAACCCGGCGCTTTCCAGCAGCTTCGAACGTCACTGACAGGTAAATCTGTCTGTTTCACCTTTACCTCTGAGGACAGAGTTTCTGAAGAAGAGATGGCTTTTCTTTTACACAGCTCCACATTCAGCTTAAATTTACTTGCTAAATTCTTCAAACCAGCTCGTTGTGTTAGAGCAGATCTAGAGGAGGAGCCACTTTTTCTTGATCCCAGTTTACAGACGTCAGCTGTAATTCACCCAGGGGATGTACCCATCTTCGATTTATACTAATAAATACTTTTTGAATCTCCTTCAGGACACAAAATAACCACACATTTCATTTTAGTTTTCCCTGATAAAATGCCCAAAACAGATGAAACAAGAATTTAAGGCACTTCCTTGATAGCAGCTGTTTCCAAACAGTAACTAAAGGTTAGAAGTGTAGTTAAACCACAGCAGAGGTTTATTTTAGGGCAAGGTTGTAGTACTTGAATGGGCACACCAGTAAAGTGGCCCACGGTGCTGCGACATCCCTCAGCTCCACCGATTGCTACAGTTACTACAATTAAAATGATAAAAACAGAAACGTTCTCTGGTTTCCTGCTAACATCTCAGTTTCACTAGAGTTAGAGTAATTCGAATGCTTTGGGCTTTAAGATCTGTTTTTGGTCAGATAGACGTTCGTTCAGTGACTTCAGGTGTTCTGCCTTAAATGTGAGTTCATGTGACCGTGCATCACATCGGGCTTGAGCAGGTCTGAGTTTATAGACTCGGGGTGATCCTGGCTCTAAGAGCACAAACGAAGCACAAATGATGACGAAGTGCACCATGTCATCGTGATTAACCCGAGGCTGCTGGGAAGCTCTCGCGCTGAAGCAATTTCAGGAAGCTCTGCCCTGTTCTGCTTTCAGTCGGCCATGTTGGATGTCTAACTTGGCGTTTTCTCTGGGGTTATTTTCATTTGTTTCTGTTTGGGGAAATTCTGGGGTCTGAGTTGAAACTTGAAGCCAAATTATTGAAATAAAATCTGATTTATTTTGTGTTGGGTTTACTTTTTTCTTTCTCCATGTTGGGGGCACAGAGAAAAGGGGTCAAAGTGCCTCTGATGTAACTAACACCACACTTTGTGTATGTGTGCAGACACACACACACACACCTCCCCTGATATATACACACACACACTTGGTTTGACAGTCAGAGGTTGCTTTTTCCAGGGCTTTCAGCTTAATCACAGCTCTTTAAATGTCTGAGAATTTCCCAGAATTCAGATTAACCGACTATACAACACCCGAAGAGCAAAGTTTAAAAGGAGGAACAAGAAAATTTGTAAAAAATGTTTAACGGGCCAAATATCAAAATCTATTCATTTTTTTAATGACACACAAGACGTCAGACCTCTGATGAAATATTTTGAGAGACATTGAATCATTTCAAAGTGTGTGTGTGTTGGTAGACAGGGATGTGTGTGTGTGGGTTCACAGTCTGGACTCTTGAGCAGCGTTCGTCATCGTTCGTGTACTCCGTTTCGTCTCCGTGTTTAAAAAGAACTAAAATAAGACAATGAACAAATACTCCTGATGTGTAAAGAGAAAAAACACTACAGAACAGAGAGAGAATTGTAAGATAAAATGTTATCGACTGATGTGCTACTAGACTTATTTTGTTAAAACTGTTTAGAGATATGAGAGGGAGCTATGTAGAGAATATGATGAGGATGTATTGAATATGCAGAGCGATGTTTGGATTAAAGTTGTAGCAAGCTGACCCACCAAACCTGCTTCCTGTGTCTTTATTCACAAACACTCAGAGATGAACTCATTTTGGGTCAATATAAATACTTCAGAAGGTTGAAACGATCCTGTTTTTTCCCCATCTGGCTTCTGCATGCTGTTATTTTGAAATGGCAACAGCAGGAAGGACATTACAAAGGGATTTTTACTGTAACTGCTCACAAGATTTAAAACTCTGCATCGTGTAGAGATGGTGTGCACTTTGTGGTTCTGAATTAAATGCAAATAAGACACTTTAAATATTAATGTTTCCAGATTCTTGAAGACTGTTGTGTTAAAGAAAACATAATTCTCTTTAATCCATTTTTACTAGATTAAAACACTGCAAGAAGAAAGGTAAAGATCAGTATGAATGCCTTCATATCTGAAAAATCTCTAGATTGGAGCATTATATTAAACTGATTTGTGAATTTGAATGATTTTGTAGTGCACAAACAACTCCCAAGTACAAGAAAATGTTTATAAAATATGTAGTTTGATCGATACAGGATTAATGAAGTGGCTTTTTTTAAGGGAAACTAATGTTAGAGTAAAGTTTTCAAGACAAAATTATCTCAAAGTTGTTAAAGTTGCTTTATCCTTAAGAAAAATCTTGAAATATCAGCACCTAAAATCCAAACGTGTGCTGCTACAAACCCTTAATTTATTATTTTTACTTTTGTTTCATTAAAGTTACAGAATTGCAGTCAAGTATCTCTGGTTGAATCTTCAGAGAAAAAGAATAAACATCATATCATAGTCATGTTTTCTTTTTGTGTGTTTATGTGTGTTATTATATACAGCTTTTCTATGACGACAACCAAGAAAGATGCCTAAAAATAAATTATTGGTTGATGTATATATGTTTTCACGTGCTATATGTTCATGTTCCTCTGTGTATGGTTGTTTATCAGGGTGATGAAAACTCAGAGCAAAAACCTAAAATAACAATATTTTGTCCTCTTGAAAGTGAACACATCACATAATTCCCATGTTCAGACCCCCCCCCCCCCCCCCCCCCCCCTTTTTTGTTTTTAGGTATTAAGATGTTTGAAATGAAAATTAAAGTTCTGCGATCAGATGTATTTTTTTTTCACTCTTGTTTGGGTTTCCATAAAATCCTAAAACCCTATAATGAGGTGTGATAGGAGGACCAGGATGCATGAGACAACAGCTGGCCGCAAAAGAAATGATAAACTTTATTGGTGGAAACAGAAGTCCAAAAGGGCACAATGGGCCAAAGCCAGCACTGCAAGCAGATAACACATGGAAAATAACCATTGGTACAACAAAAGGACCTGAAAAAGCAAGAGATGATGCAGTTTATACTGTACACAGAAGACCAACTGACCCAAGAGGACAGAATCAGAGAGGAGCAGCCAATCACAGAGGAGGAAAAGGGGCAGGAAGTAAAAACAGGAGGAGACACTAACCTTCAAAGTAAACCAGGACATTACTGAAAGATAACACTAGGGAAACTAGAATAATACAGAAATCAAGACAAGAACTGAAACCTATCAGTAGAACAACTGTAAAGTCAAAACAGGAACAAAAAGAACCAAAAAACAAAACACTTGAAAACCCTGGAACTATGGCACGCCAACTCCTTATAAGAAAAATAAATCACTTTATTTTTGCTCTGCAGAAGAAATCATCCATCTGATAAAATCCAAACATCATGTTCTGAGCTGTAAGCCTTCCTCCGTGGGTGGAACCTGCTCACACCAACGTTTATGGACACTTTTCTAAGAAGTCTCTTGATTTTGTGTTTTGCTACTTGGAGCACCTCAAACCGAGTGCAGTTTACTTCTCTCCCAGGTTTCTCCATATCAAGAGAAGCCTGAGATCTTTCCAGAACAATCTTCATCTAAAAAACACTGCAGGTCAAGTGAGTTTGAGGTGAACTGTCCCTTTAAGGCAGAGTGAGCTGTAGGTGATGTAATGCAGACATGAAATAATGAAGAGAAGCAAAGGTTGCACAGTTAGACAACACAGGTCTGGACTTGCATATGAGTGTGTGTGTTTGATATAAGCTGAATGTCGTCACACAACAAACACGCATCAATCATCTATCCGGAGCATGATGTCACCTTTTATGAGATGGTTTCAACATGCAGACAGAATAAAAAGTACTCATATTTCTGTCTGTCTGATTCTGAGTCAGAAGAAAAGAAAAGTAAGACACGATTTGATTCAGGTAAAACTTAAAATACTGGGACATGGGCAGAGGGAGTGTTTCATGACAATAAGCTTCTTATAAAGTGGGGGAGGCCAAACGGTCACTGAACACATGTGGTCACATCTGGTGCTAATAAAGTGGATCATCAATCAGCATCACATGGGATAATCACTGCAGTATTTACAGAGCACAGACAAGGGCGTGTAGATGTGCTGCAAAGCAGAGATAAGTCAAAAAGAAATAAATGTGGAAAAAACAGCTGGGAAATTCTCAGAGTCTAAAGGAGCTTAAACCAACTGAAATCAGTGTTTTTATAAACTTACCCCAAAGTCATAAACTTAGATAAATCTTAGTCTTAGCTTTATGGACACAGACTGTAAATAAAAGATGGACGTAGCAGCAGTGACATCACTTATCTGTTAGTGAAGTCCTGCTATGAAGCCTCTGTCCGAGGGTTTTCATCATAAATAGCTTAGCCTTTTGAAATGAAGACTTGACGAACGAGGATTGGTACTAACTATTAAACCAGTGAACGCTGCATCCTTATTGGCTGATCAGAGTACTCTCCATCCTCCTGTTTCACTCTCATAAAGAATGATATACACAAAGTATTGTGTAGTACTCAGTAATAGTAGCGCCTGAGCTACTATAAAAAAAATGAAGGGCAGTTTCCACATAGTGTTATACACAAAAGGAAATAACCAGTGGAATCGCCCTCTGCTGGACAGAGTTCAGGTGTAAGGCACTTACACTCACTGGAAATAAACTGAAGGAAGTAAGCAGGACCAAACCCTCTGCTCTCCACTCCAAAAAATATTTAATGTGC